TTTCTCCCAGACAGCTGTCTGACACTGTCAGGAATAGAGCTCAAGTCACAGTCTTCAACACAGACTGCACCATTCTTCCGGCACTGGGAAGAATGTGGTCAGGGAGAACACTGAAACGTTGGGAAGAGACTTTGGGGTGAGAAGGGGTAATAAAAATGTGTCTCTTACACAAATATCCATGTATTCATAATGGAAGAAAAACTTATTGGGGAATGTTGTTTAAGGGTATAGGAGTTTGAAAGGATTATTACTGAAGGGTTCCTTAAGCACCAGCCACTCTGATGGGCTACAATGGGGGGGGCAGTCGGAGTCATCCTCATGATCTCTGTAACAATGTTTATCATATTGATGTAGCTTGTGTTTTGTCCCTAAATTACAATAAACTACATCTCGTTTAAAATAAGTGATCTCTTATTAGACTGCAAAGTAATTTCTCTCAATAACACTAGGTCCCATGAATCTCTATTGGGAGAAAGGACAGTTGCAGTAAATCTACCAGGTAGCTCATCCAACGTGATGAGCAGCGACGTGGATTCGTCTTACAACGTTCCAGACCCACAGCCTTCCACAGAACCTTGTGTGTGTGTGTGTGTGTGTCTCTCTCTCTCTCACTCACTCACTCTCGCACAAACGCACACTCTCACGTGCACACTCTCGCACGCGCACACTCTTTTTCTCTTGCACGTGCAAACAGTCTCTCTCATGCATGTGCCTACAGTCTCTCTCTCTCACACGTGCATACAGCCTCTCTCTCCCACGTGCACACAGTCTCTCTCTCGCATGTGTATACAGTCTCTCTCTCCCACGTGCATACAGTCTCTCTCTCGCATGTGCATACAGTCTCTCTCTCTCCCACGTGCATACAGTCTCTCTCTCCCGCGTGCATACAGTCTCTCTCTCTCCCACGTGCATACAGTCTCTGTCTCGCATGTGCATACAGTCTCTCTCTCTCCCAGCTGCATACAGTCTCTCTCTCTCCCACGTGCATATAGTCTCTCTCTCTCCCACGTGCATACAGCCTCTCTCTCCCACGTGCA